GAGTTGCCAGTCCAGCCCTTCCCTCAACTATGTTTGTGATGGCAAGAATATCACACTTGAGATGGCAAAGGACAAGAGGCACAGGCAAGAGGCAAGGGGAAGGAGCAAAAGGAGTTGGGCAGGGAGACAGCAGGGGGAAGTGAGGGGCTAGAGAATGAGAAGCAGTGAGGAGTGGGAGGGATGGAGCAGACAGCTAGGAGCAGAAGGGAAAGAGGAAGTGAGGCACAGGCAGAAGGGAAAAAGGAAGAGAGGTAGAGAGGAGCAGGAGAGGGAGAGGTGGCAAGAAACATTTATGAGGCATTGAGGAAGTGAGGGGGGAAGGGGGAGAGCAGATGGCAGTGAGAAACAGCAGGTTAGCAGTGAGGGGGGTAGGACAGAGGTGCAGAGTGGGTAAGGCTACTGCAAAACAGTACTAATTGTTCATGTGACTCTACATCAGCCATGGCATAAAAGAGGAGGAGTTGGACATTTAGGCCCTCAAGCCTGCACCATTCAATAAGATCACAGCTGATCTGTTTGTGTTTCAAACTCCACATTTCCTTCCGTCCCACCTTGCCCAACAAGAGGTTAACTACCTCAGTTTTAAAAAGTATGCAATGACCTACCTCCACTGCCTTTTGAAAGGCCCACAGCTATCAGACAGAAAAGGAAATTATCATTTCTGTCCTAAAAGGGCAACTCCTAATTTTGGGCAACCCCTAATTTTAAGAGTACCCATTAGTTCTGGGCTCACCCACAAGAGGAAACATCCTTTCTTGTCAAAACCATTCAGGATCTTAAATACTTCAATTAAGTTACACCCAATCTTTTAAAATAGAGTGAAAATAAGCCCAGTTTGTCCAAACTTTTCCCATAAAACACCTGCTCATTCGAGGTATCAGTCCTTCACTGAATCACCTTTACAAACTTTCTTAAATAAGGAGACCATAATCGAACACAGCACTTGGGATACAGTCTCAGTAATGACCTGTATAATAGAAGAACAACATCCTTACTTTTAAGGTTAAGCCTTACCATAGTAATTGATAGCATTTCTTAATCATTTGCTGTACATACACACTATTTTGTGACTCATGCACTAGAACACTTTGAATGCCCTGTATCTTGTATTTTGCAGTTATTCTCCATTTTGGTAAAACTGTTCTTTAATTTTTCTATACAAAGTGAAAAATTTCACATTTTCCCATGTTGTACTCCTGCCAGATTTTGTCCATTCATTCAATTTATCTACATTGGTCTGTGTCTTTTTTTTTTTAATTGTCCTTTTCCTCGCAACATACTTTCCTGCCTACCCATGTGTCCTCTGCAAATTTAGCTACCATGCCTTTGCTCCCGTCCTCTAAATCACTGAAATAAATTGTAAAAAGTTGAGGCCTCAGCACAAACCCATGTGACCCTATTCATCACATCCTGATAACCAGAAAAAGGCCCATTTTTCCTTGCCAGCCAATCTTCTACCCATGCTGGTATATTAATCTTTGGTACGTAACCATGTGCTAATATTTTGCTATGTTATTTATGTGGCATCTTGCCTTCTGGAAATCCAAATATAGCACATCACAGGGTGCTCCTTAGCTGTTACTCCTTCAAAAAATCTCCAATGAATTGTTAAACATGATTTCCTTTTCACGAACCATGTTGATTTCCCATTTTCCTTGAATTTGGCCCAAGTGCCAGTTATAATTTCTCTGATTGTGGATGCCAACATCTTCCCCACCAAGTTGCAGAAATAATGCTGAAAGGGAAATCCTAACACTTGAGCACACAAGCCTCATTACATCAGTCTTGTTAAAGCGGAATTACGTAAATAAGACTTACTGTGTACATTTCCAATATCTGGGCCTATAGAATACATCCAGAAATAGCACTTTTAATGTTTAACTAACCAAACAGACTCTTTTCTTTTCCACTTCAGGACATGTCCTTTCTCCAGGGCCATCATATTCTCATTAAGGAGGCCCCCTCCTCTCATCCTTTCTTTCTCATTAAGGAGGCCCCATCCTCTCATCCTTTCTTTCCTTCTCTAATTTTCCTCAATGCTTTCTATCCAGGGATGTTTTCAATTTAATCCTGGCCCTAAATGAACATTGTCTCCATTACAGCCACAATATCATATTCCCACGAGGTTATTTTTTGCCCAGAGCATTTCAACCTGATTTAGCATCCTCCTTGCAGTTTCATGCATTAAATCCTGGCCTGATACCATCTAGCACCTTACCATTTCACAATCTTAGAAGTTCATAGAATCCCTAGAGTGTGGAGCAGGCCATTTGGCCCAACGAGTTCACACCAAACCTCCAAAGAGCATCCCACCCAGGCCCACACTCTACCGTATCTCTGCATTTCCCACCCTAGACACTGTGGGCAATTTAGCATATCCAATCCACCTAACCTGCACATCTTTGGACTGTGGGAGGAAACCGGAGCACCCGGAGGAAACCCACGCAGGCACGGGGAGAATGTGCAAACTCCACACAGACAGCCACCCGAGGCTGGAATCAAACCCGGGTCCCTGGTGCTGTGAACATAGAATAGAATCCCTACAGTGTGGAAACAGGCCCTTCGGCCCAACAAGTCCACATTGACTATCAGAGCATCCCACCCAGACCCAACCCCCACCTAATCTATACATCCCTCAACACCATGGGCAATTTAGCATAGCCAATCCACCTAGCCTGCACATCTTTGGACTGTGGGAGGAAACCAGAGCACCTGGAGGAAACCCACGCAGACACGGGGAGAACGTGCAAACTCCACACAGACAGTCGCCCGAGGGTGGAATCAAACCCGGGTCCCTGGCGCTGTGAGGCAGCACTGCCAACCTCTGAGCCACCGTGCCGACCGAAATGAGGCAACAACACTAAGCATTGAGCCATCTTGTGCAATGTGTCTCTCCCAATCCTTTTTAAAACGTTGTTTATCCTTCCTAAAGCTATATTTTGATTTCTATACCCTGGTCAAGTTAGTTAAATTCTCACCAACACTACCAGCAAACCACCTGTTGGCACTGGATTTGTCTGGCCCGTAGGGGTTCCACTCCCACTGCCCACTGCCCACAAAATGGACTTAATTTACTTTGACAAAATACTACGTTACAGACTTTTAACTTGATGTTTGACACACTTCCATAGCATTAAAGAGCAAAGGTAATGCTGCAATACTCATCAATCAACTTCTATCCACAGTCTTGTGACGATACTCTGTGATTATTGTGGATGATTTAAGGCCTGCTTTGGAGCCCACGATGCTCTGATCTCTGCTGCTCCCTGTCTTTACATCTTCAACCCTCTTTCATGACCCTTTGTTCTCAATAACTGACTGAAGGGCTATAAACTGGATACCAGTTTATCCAGTACTCCATGAAAAGAAAGCTAACTGAAATTAGAGGGATGGACAGGAAGAAGGGGAATGGAGGGGAAATAATTGATATGGCTACAGGGAAAAGAGTCAAGAAGAATGCCACAAGTGTTGGTCCAAGTGGGTTCGTTCTTTTGGATCATTCTACAGTGGTGGGAGAGCTGATCCTTCTTTGAAACATGCTGGATTAACAGGAGATTAGGGACCCGAGTTTGATTCCAGTCTTGGGTGACTGTCTTTGTGGAGTTTGTAGAATCCTGACAGTGTGGAAAACAGGCCCTTCGGCCCATCAAATCCACACCAATCCTCATAGCATCTCACCCAGACCCATCCCCCCAAGAACCCACCTAATCCACTCATCCCTGAACACTACGGGCAATTTAGCATCGCCAATCCACCTAACGTGCACATCTTTGGACTGTGGGGGGAAACTGGAGCACCCAGAGGAAACCCACGCAGACACGGGGAGAACGTGCAAACTCCACACAGACTGTCGCCCCAGGGTAGAATGGGATCCAGGACCTTGGCACTGTGAAGCAGCAGGGCTAACCACTGAGCTACCGTGCCAAGTTTGCACATTCTCCCCATGTCTGCATGGGTTTTCTCCAGCTGCACCAGTTTCCTCCCACAGTCCAAAGATGTGCATGTTAGGTGGATTAGCCATGCTATATTGCCCGTAGTGTCCAAGGATGAGTAGACTAGGTGGATTAGCCATGGTTAAAAGAGCAGAGTTACAGGGATAAGATGGGGTTTGAGAGTGGGTGGGATGCTCTTCAGAGGGTCAGTGCAGACTTGATGGGCCGAATGCCCTCTTTCCACAATGTAGGGATTCTATGATTCTACAAGATTTTGAACATTTTCTTGTAAAGTACTTTCAGACCTAGTTTTTTTTTAAAGAGCTCTGACCTATTAAAGTTGAACAAGCTTGGAAGGTTCTACATCAGTTTAAGCTTGGAAAAACATAGCAACTCATGATTTTTACAGCAAATCTTTTGATCATTAAGAGTACGTTTCTTGATTTAGGAGATTGTAGGATTGGCATTCCTGAGGTTGTTTTGGCTGTAAAGAATTTTAGCAATGCACTGCAGCAGTATCTCTTTACTGGCTTAAAGTGCTTTCTTGCCTCTCGGAAATGACAATCCATTCTAAAATTTTAATCAAAGCACATATTGCAAGAAAAGCATCTCTACCTCCACACCATTGCTGACATCTGTCAGCACTCCCAATATATAAAACAGCATAGCCATATTTATTCAATTTAACATAACAGACATGCACAGTTTTGCCAGTCGATGGTTCTACAAACAAGACATTCAAAAATATGATAGTTATAAGCTTAACAGCAGATGATGATATTTCGCCCATGTTAAAATGAACATAACAAAGCTGTCTTTCAGGGATTGGTTACAAAGTTATCGAATACAAAACAAAATTAAGTTTACTCAAAACTAGCGAGACTATTAGATTCAAATCCTCCAACACATTAGAAATAGTCTATTCCCGATAACTCAAAGGCCGCTGAATTTGAATGACGACATATTTTAGTCTTCTTGGCAGGTGAAGTAAATATCATCAAATAACTGCACTTTGAACATGGGGCTGAATTTGCAATGACCTTTCAGCACTGAGCATTAAAAACATACCAGACTCCGGTGTTCTTTGAAAAACCGAAACACTCCATTTGCCATCTCTGTCTCCTTGTGAAGTGCGAACAGAGAATTCATATATGGAATCTGATGTCAGCTTGTCGATCAGAACTCGCCTGTATGTCTTCGATATCTTGTATTCCCATTTGGCAGATTCTCCTTTCTCTCTGTATCTAACAGTGTAATATCTGAAAGGTCAAGAAGAACACAAAAATAAAACAATAGCCTTGTATAACATTTTACTGTTTGTGAATCATTCCAGACAGGTCATCCATGGTGGTCGCGCTAATAAACATAGCAAGTGAAAAAAATCTACAAGTTCAATATTATAGGGTTGTTCTCATACTCCATCATTGAGCTATTCTTTATATTTTTTGATGCAATGTAACAATTTACAATCAAGAATTTGTCCACTCCAAGGTTCCTGATGTTGCTGCCCTTGAGCTAGCTGCTGATTCAAACACATTCAGTATGTGCCAGCGAGGTGAGTTATTTGTTCTATGGCTACACAGATCAGACAGCTGGGAGCATTAACCTGCTATTAATGAATCACTGTCAACACTATTTCCCTATTGCTTACACTTTCATTTGGTGTTATTTTACTGTCAATGGCAAAATAATACTGATAGAATAATGTAAGCTTTATCATGCTGACAGACTGAATAAGCAAAATATTTCAACAATGGAATTCAATGAAAAAACACAGATGTGGAGATATCAGTGTTGGACTGGGGTGGACAATGTCAGAAGTTACATGATACCAGGTTATAGTCCAAAATGTTCCCTGACTGGGAGGGAGCATTCCTGTCTGGTAATTGTTGCACAGTGTCCATTCATCTGTTGTCATAGCGTATGCATGGTCTCACCAATATACCATACTTTAAAGCATCCTTGCCTGGACTGTATGAAGTAGACAACACTGGCCGAGTCACACGAGTATCTGCCGTGTACCTGGTAGGTGGTGTGATGCTAGTATCCATTTCGATGACCTGATATGTCTTGCAAGGTTGGTGTGGCAGGGTTGTGTGGTGTTGTGGTTGATGTTGTCCTGATGGTCTGTTTAACGTTTGGCAGTTGTTTGAAGGTGAGAAGTGGAGGCATAGAGATGGTCTTGGTGAGATATTCGTCATCATCAATGACATGTTGAAGGCTGCAAAGAACATGGTGTAGTTTCTCCGCTTTGGGGAAGAACTGAACAATGAAGGGTACTCTATCAATTGTGTCCTGTGCCCGTCTTCTGAGGAGGTTGTTGCGATTTTTCGCTGTGGCACGTCAGAACCGGCAATTGATGAGTTCAGCATCGTATTCCATTCTTATGAGGGCATCTTTCAACATCTTTAGGTATCTATCATGTTCCTTCTTGTCTGAGCAGACATTGGGCTTGTCTGTATCAGATGGGTTCTTTAACGTGTTTAGGATGGAAGCTAGAGAAGTGCAGCATCTTGAGGTTATCCGTGGGCTTGCGTTAGAGTGAAGTACTGAAGTGCACCTCCTTGATGGAGGTGCACGTGTCCAAGAATAAGACTGATTCTGAAGAGTAGTTCATAATAAGTCTGACGGTGGGATGAAACTTGTTGATATTGTTGTGTAGACATTTCAATGATTCCTCACCATGACTCCAGAGGAAGAAAATATCATTTAAGTATCTGGTGCATAGAGTTGGTTGGAGGAGGTATGGTATATTGGTGAGACCATGCATACACTACGATAATGGGATGAATGGACACTGCACAACAATCGCCAGACAGTAATGCTCCCTCCCAGTCGGGAAACACTTCAGTGGCCAAAGACATTTAGCCTCCGGCCTTCAGGTAAGCATCCTCCAAGGTGGCCTTTGAGATACACAACAACGCAGAATTGCTGAGCAGAAACTGATAACCAAATTCTGTACCTACAACGATGGCCTCAACCATGATCTTGGATTCATGTTGCGCTACATGTAACCCCACCGTACTTTTCTGTATTTATAAAATCTTCCTTACTGTCCTGCTTTGACACCATTAGTTTGATAACTTGTTATGATCTCTCTGCCTTAATTAGTTTGTACAGTTTTGGATTACTTGTTACTTTGGTTACACTTTCGGCATGCGACTCTTAGACCTATCACATTATTCCAGCCATTTGATTTGTCTCCAGCAAGACTTTATTTTTAATTTTTTTTGTAATGATCTCTCTGCCTCAATTAATCAGATTATAGGTCATCCCTTCACTTGCTAGTCAGCTGTTGACACTTTACTCAGCTTCTGACACTTTTGATCACCTGCAGAGACACATTATTCAGCCTGTCGACACTCCGCTCACACTATTTGAGCGATCTTTTGATCTCTCTGCCTATAAATTATGTGCCTGTGCATTTTTCTTCACTTCAGAAGGAGCATTTCTCTGAAAACTTGTGATTTCAAATAAACCTGTTGGACTATGACCTGGTATTGTGTGACTTCTGACTTTAAACATAAAACAGAAAATAGGAGCAGGGGTAGGTCACCTGATCTTTGGATCCTATTCCGCTATTAATTATTGTCATGGTTGATCATCCAACTCAATAGCCTGATCCTGCTTTCCACTCATATCCCTTCAGTGCCAAGGACGATATCTAACTCCTTGAAATCATACAATGTTTTGGCCTCAACTGCTGGTGCTGAATTCCACCAGCAAATACCCAGGTCTAGTTCCCCTCTTTCAATTTATAGCCATTTAGATAATAATCTGCCTTTCTGTTTTTGCTCTCAAAGTGGATTACCTCACATCTATCCACATAATACTGCATCTGCTATGCATTTGCCCACTTACTCAGCTCGTCTAAATCATTCTGCAAATCTTTGCATTCTCCTCACAGCTCACCCTCCCACCCAGGTTTCAGTAATCTGCAAATTTGGAGACAATACATTCCTTATCTATATTGATAGATATTAAGTGTATCTAGGTTCTTAGCATTGATCCCTATGGTACCCCAATAGTCACTGCCTGCCATTCAGAAAAAGGACCTGTTTACATTTTCTGAAGAAGGGTCTAGGCCCGAAACATCAGCTTTCCTGCTCCGCTGATGCTGCTTGGCCTGCTGTGTTCATCCAGCTCTACACCTTGTTATCTCTGTTTACTCCTACTCTTTATTTGCTGTTTGTTGAAAGCCATCTGAAATTCCAAATAAACCACATCTACTGGCTCAACCTCATCAACTCTACCAGTTATATCCTCAAAGAATTCCAGTAGATTTGTCAACTCTCTTTTGTATATCCATGCTGCCACTGTTTTCCAAGTGCTCAGCTACTAAATCCTTTTTAATGGACTCGAGCTGACTGGTCTATAATTCCAAATTTGCTATCTGCCTCTCTTTTTGATAGAAGGGCTACCCTTCAATCTGTTGGAACTGTTTCACAGTCTACAGAATCTTGGAAGATGACTACCATTTATTATTTTTAGGGCCACTTCCTTAAGTACCCTGGGAAATTGATTATCAGGGCCTGAGGATTTATGTGCCTTTAATCCCATCAATTTTCCCAACACCTTTTTCCAACTAATATTGATTTCCTTCAGTTCCTCCCGCTCACTAAACCCTGTGTTCTCCAACATTTCTAGTCAGTTACAAAAACAGAAGTTGCTGGAAGCTCAGCAGGCCTGGCAGCATCTGTGAAGAAAAAGTCAAAGTTAATGTTTCGGGCCTGGTGACCCTTCCTCAGTGTTCTAATACTGTCAGACCTGCTGAGCTTCCAGCAACTTCTGTTTTTGTTCCTGATTTACAGCATCCGTAGTTCTTTTGTGTTTTTTTTTCTAGTCAGTTATTTGTGTCCTCCTTTGTGAGCGCAGAACCAAAGAATGTATTTTGTTGGTCAGCCATTTCTTTGTTTCTCCAATTTAACTACCTCCATTTCTGAATGCAAGGGAACTATGTTTGTCTTCACCAATCTTTTTTGTCCTTCCATAAATATAGAAACTTTTATAGTCAGTTTTTCTGCTCTTGTAAGTTTACTCGCATACTCTATTCTCCCTTTCTTCATCAATTCCTTTGTCCTTCTTTGCTGAATTCTACACTGTTCCCACTCCTCAGGGCCCTTTTCTTTCTGACAAATTTGTATGCCTCTTCCTTGGATCAATGCTCTCTAATTTTCTTTTTAGCCATGGTTTGGCCACAGTTCCCATTTTACTGTTGCGCCAAACAGGAATAATCAATTATGACAGTTCACCCACGTACTCTCTGAATGCTTGCCATTGCCTTCCCGTCATGATCCCTTCAAGTAACATTCCCCATTCTGTCAGCCAAATCACACCTCATATCATTGTAATTTCCTCTTTTTAGATATAGGACCCTTGTCTTAGAATCAACTATATCACTCTCTATCTTGATGATGAATTCTATCATAGTATGGCTGCTCATCTAAATGGGCTTTCCACAATTAGACTGCCAATTATTCCGTTTTCATTACACAATACCCAGTCTAAGATGGCCTGCTCTCTAATTGGCTACTCATTATATTAGTCCAGAAAACCATCCTGTGTAAACTCCAGGAATTCTTTCTCTACAGTTACAAATTTGATTTGCTCAATCCATATGTAGATTAAAGCCACTCATAATTATAGATGTTCCTTTAATGCATGTGTCTCCAATTTTCTGTTTAATTGCATTTTCAACATCACCTTTGAAATAAAAACCGAAAGAACTGTGGATGCTGTAAATCAGAAACAAAAACAGAAGTTGCTGGAAAAGCTCAGCAGGTCTGGCAGCATCTGTGAAGAAAAAATCAGAGTTAA